GCCCCAAGCAGCCCTTCACTGTCCCAAGCAGTCAACCTTTAGGCAAGCTGCTGTGGTCCCATAGAGTTGCCCAGTATGCTGCCACACCGACGTCCTTGCTGCAAGCTACAGCAAGGTAAAGCTTCAACCTCAACGCACCTGGCTCACTGCCTGCGATCTTTAGCCTAGTGCCTGAGTGTCAAGACATATAGCAACATCAAGCTTTGCAACTGCACTCTGGGTCTTTGTTTGGCTTTGTGAGCAGGTTGCTGTTCATGGCTTGTTTCTGCTACACACTTGTGCTTCGCGCGACTGCAAAGGCGTCAACAGCTAACAGCTGTGTGGTTGTAGACTGGGCTGAAGACGCTTAAATCAACAAAGTGGTAGGAGCCCTTTACCAAGTGTGGATGCAAAGAACATCAGCATGGCAAGCAATGGAGCAATCGCGAACCCTACAATAGTCCGAGGACAATACAAAGGCCAAGAAGCCACAGAGCGTGCTCGCTGATCCACGATCCCCATGTCAGCTCCACAGAAGGCTCCTTGTAGTTCAGAAAACGCGAAAGATTAACTCCTGCAGCCAGATCTGCATCCTACATCGACTTATCTGATCGGTCATCTTCGTTCTCGCTTGGCAATTGGGGGCCAACCCAACCCAGGCACTCGAATCTTCTTCTTATGGATGGGAGCCACTCTGTCCCTTCGCAGAAGCCTGCAGCAGCCTGAGTTCTGAAACTACAGAATTGAATCCAAAACACGGAACTGAACTTCATTCACACGGCCTCCAGTACAATTTCAAGACTTACAAGTCACATTCTTCTTGCGCACAAGCAAGTCGCAAAATTTGCATGCAAAAGCCACCTGTAAGCCCCTGCACAACCACGCCTCAAACCGAAGCACGTGTCCGATGGCCAAATGCCATGAAGGAAGTGAGACTTTCCGAAGAAACGGTGCTTTGAGCTTAGGGCTGATGAGCCCACACTCGCCTTTCCAGACCATCCCGGCGTTCCCGTCCGCCTCCTGCCTCCCCAAGCCGTTTACCTGGTGTTGACTAGTGTCTCGTCCGTTCTGCAGGCCTCGAAACCGCCAAAAGCAGAACAGACCAGGATCTCAACGCAGAAGCCGCCTTTCCTGTTAAAACACATGTGTGCATGTGTGCATATGTATAAACAGACATAAGATGGAGCTTTTGGAGGCAGTGAGCTAGATCATTTCTTGGGCTAGATGCTTTCTGCCTTCGTGCCCACCCCTGCCCATGTCGCATGTCTGCCGGGGGGCAAGGTCCGGCAGAGGATGGGAATCTGCGCTATAACGGTTTTGAGTGTGTTTCTGCATGGGAGTGGCTTGTTGTGCGCACCGATTAAAGCATTCTCTGACTGGTGTTTGTTGTTGTGGATTATCCTTGCACATGGTGTGGGCAACACTGCTTCCGGCGATACAGCTTGAACGCAAGCTGGCAATGGATGCAAAAGCAAGCACCCCATACACCCAATCCTGTGACCCCGACCTGCCAGGAGCCGAACGAGCTGTCTTCCGATTGCGAGAACACGGGCAACTACATAATTTGCAGCCCACGCGGCATAGTCTATCCACGAGTTGGATGTTCGGCATGGGGTCGCGTCCTGCCAGTCCACTGAAGTGGCACTGGGGGGAGGGGGGAGGGGTGGGGGGGGGGGTGGAGGGGGGGGGGGTGGAGGGGGGGCAGGGTGGAAAGGGGGGGGGGGGGGGGCAGGCGTGTTTAATACGTTCGCTGGCCAACGAACGCGCTCCTGCAATCTCAGGGTCCATGGAGTAGCACAGCTTGCCAAAGTCACACATGTACATGCCTTAGGTGGTGGTGGGGAACACACCCACAATCCATGCAAGAGAAGGTGAAAAAAACGTGAATTAAGCAAACTATCTTGAATCTTATCCTGTCACCGTGCTAATGCATAAACACTCCATCAAAAAAAAAACTGCATGACTAGTTTCTTTTGCTCCCAGTTGTGGTAGTCTCCGCCTTCCAATCTAGAAACCAAATAATAACTCTGCGAAGTAGTCCAACGAAAACATTTGGGAGTAGCTGAATCAAGGGCGAGAAAGAGAAGCGAGATTGGCACAAAGAGAGAGAGAGAGAGACAGAGACAGGGAGAAAGAGAGAGAGAGAGAGAGACAGTGTGTGAGAAAGAGAAACAAAGAGAAAGAGAGAAAGAGAGAGAGAGAGGGAAAGAGAGAGAGAGAGAGAAATAAAGACAGAGAGAGAAAGAGAGAGAGAGAGAGAGAGAGAGAAAAAGCGAGAGAGAAAGAGAGGGAGAAAGAGGGAGAACGAGAAAGAAACAGAAACAAAGAAACATAAGCAGAAAGGAAAGAGGGAGGGAACTCAGAACATCAAATAAAGTAAAGAGGGAGAGAGAGATTGAGAGAAAGAAAAAAGATAGCAAGATGGAAAGAGACAGGCACCGAAAACCACCAGACATGTGCTTACACTGTATCGCATGCATTGTAGGCAACCAGTTTGATTCTTCAGCGGGTGTGAATCCAGGAAAGACGCAATGTCTTCCTTGGGCTTGCAAGTTTTCCGGCAAACCAAAGACACTCAAGCATGCCCTCACTAGTACCCTCGTTATTGCATCAGGCTAGCTGCGAATTCGGGCCACCGGTTACAATCGGTGCATGCAAGAGCTTGGTCTGCACAAGACTAAAGTGGACATAACAGGACCAGGCGGTCTGAAAGATGCAGAAACGTACAAGCAAAATACAGATTGTTCCAACAGTCGAAGGACTGGCAGCGACACCGCCAACTTCGAAGATCGTATCACCAGCCAGAAAGTGTTGCCTCAAGAGATGTACACGTCAAATAAATTTTCGACAAAGCAGCACTTCAGCAGCATTTTCGGCTGCGGCAAGACAATTAGATGTCTCGACTTAGTGACTTCCAGGAAACAGAAAATACAATCACTATCACTGCTGATCTTATGATCACTCGCGGCACATAACTCATGGTGTTGGATAAGACTGTGGTTTTCGCCAAAGGAGCTCGTGCACGGCATCATAACCTTCGCAGGTGGATGAGCTGCAAGAACATGTAAGACAAGCATGCGCCAACATTCCCAGGACAGTCCGGTGAGACGTGCCTGTACAGTGCCGCAAGACGGGTCTCATAAAACTCTCTGCCTGGATTCTCAAAGATAGTTTCATTCTTCTCTGACATTGCCACTGCGCTACTTCACTCCACCTTTTGTGGCATTTGCGGAGTCCATGAGCCCTGAAGTCGCAATCCCAGGCCCATCAGCCCCTCAGTAGCCCATCACACTGGCCACGCAACACAGGTCCGCCATTGTACGGCCCGCGGACGTGTTTAGCTTCGAGAAGAGGCCGTGGTTCGCCAGTGTGGGCGTCCTGCCAGCTCCATCTCCAAAAGCTGCTTCTGTTTATGCACTCTGGAGGCTTCAAGCCATGACAAGAAGCATCGGGCAGACAGGTGTCCTTGCCATTTGATACCTGTGCAGGCATGTGCAGGCTACTGTGGGACTGCTGGACTTCGCTAGCCTGGCTTTGGCAGGCTCATCGCAGTTCTTTGTTGCTCTTTGTTGTACAGGGCTGACTGCTTTTTCACCCCGAATCGAGGCACCTGTGTGCAGAAGGAAGGAGGGTTGGGGAACTGCGAACCGTGAAGCATCGCGAAGTCATGTATTCGTAGGTACAAGGCCATTGAAACTGGCTGTGGGGGTTTCTCTCCCTTAGCCTCTGCCAGACTCTGCGAATCTTGCGACTGGGACACAACACGCGGAGCAGCTCCGGCGGAAGTGCCGCCTCCAACACCTAGCACCGCATCGCCCCAAATAGCCATAGCACTGAGTGCTGCAACGTTTCGTATTCAAGCCATCTGAAGCCATCATAGCATTCGCACATGACATCAAACATATCAAACACTCCCACGTACTCCCACCTGCAGCCTCACCTTCCACTTCACCCGCTCCTCTGCCAAAGAAAACGCGCATCTTCTCTCGCGAACGCTCACATCACGCCACGTACCAGCATCCATGCACCATCACAGCATAAACTGAAAACACTCCTCTTCCCGTTCCTTGGTTCCAGACAGGTTCTACAAAGAACAGCACCACCACTACACAGCATGGCACTCAATAGCACATCCTGAGTTGTCAAGCTGGGGCAGATAGTCGCTCTAAATGGCTAGCCAGGCATCAACATACTTCTTCAGGCGGACAGTAAGCGCAGTGTTGATGCGATGCGTCGCTGCATACTCACCTTGCACGCGTCGCTGCCATTACAGCACACACCGGGAGTGTGGTCGTATGCGGCTGAAGACTGGAGATCCACTTGTTTGCAGATGTGCTTGTACGGCCCGCAGCCCACAGCTGCCCAACAAAAACCATTCCACATGGCGTGATTTGGCTAAGCAAGTATAGAACTCGAAGTAGATGCCCAAGGCACTGATGGCTCCGAGCTTTCGGCTACGCTCTTTCCTCGAGTACACTGCCCAAACAGTCCACCGAAGCAATGCAACTCAACTCACTGACCCGTGGGGCTGAGTAGACCAGCATTCAGGGTAAACGAACTACCACCACACACAAGCTCCTCCGCCTGTCTGCCAACGCTTTGTCATAGCCGGGCCACAAACTAGCGGCTAGCGGCGCCACATCTCTATCACTTATCAAATGACCTGCAATCATGAAATCTCCATTTGCGTCCCAGAACAGGTTCGATTTGCAAACATCAGTCAAGCCTTCCTTGCTCTTTTTGCAAAAATCGTCGGAGGTTTTCCGAGGTTCCGGCTGCCTATTCCTCTGCCTCTGGCTGTGTCCCTGAGTCCACGTCTTCTCGGGCCCTAGCTACCGGGGTAACTACATGGAGTTGTGGTAACGGAAGCAAACCTCGGCGGAGTTTCGGGTGTTTCGAAGGCAAATTCCACGGAGTCGGGGCCTCACGCTGGGTAACCTCGTCGTATCTAGTCAGTCTTCTGGAAGATGAGATGGCTTTCCGCGCAAAACCCTTTACTGGTGTGAAAAATTCGATAGCCATCAGACAATCAAACGAATGGGCCAGGGCTCCACATGTGCGCCAACTTGGCCATGGTGTTCGTAACATTGCCTCGGAAAAGTACCCATTTTTTGAGACAGTTCAGCTTGAAAGTTGAACAAGGGATGAAATTCTGAAACGCCGCTACTGCACGACATGTAATACCACAACAACAAGCACACAGCAACGAATTGCGTACAGGCGCTGATGAACATGGATGAGAAGAGCAGTGACCCAAAGCTGGCGACGAGAGAGAAGATGCGTTCCTGCTGCAGACGTAGTTTCCTGGGATGTGCCGACGAAACTTGAAGTTGTACTTGACGTAGGTACGCTATGGAACGCCGTAGCTTCATTATGGCTTTGAGGTTGCCGAACCCGTCAAGCCCGAGAGGCATGTTGTCACGGAGCGAGATCGGGTGCAACCTTCCAGGTGACGCCAACTGCACGGAATTTTTCGGCTTTTGCAAGTATCTGACGATATCTAGCGTCTAACATGCTGGCTTGCAAATTATCAGGGACCTAAAGGCACCCAAAATGACACGCTGTGCCGTGCTCTAGGCCCCCAATGCCGCCTCGCCAGCGACCACTGCATGCTCTGGATGTAGATAGATCCTCTGAGATTCGAAACTGTGCAGAACTGCACACTTTGGGTTGTTCCTCTTTTGGGCAATAGGAATTGCACATTGACAGTATGTATCCGCTCTACATCGAAATTCGCCTCGGACCCCCCAGTTTTGGCTAATTACTGTAACAGCTGGTGAGACTGGCACATTTGAGCAAGACGAAACATTTTGGAAGACGGTACGACGAAAGAGCTTATCCGACACGTCATCCCATCCGTCATCCAGACATCATCTCCCACAGTATTCGCGGGCCGCAACCCACGCACATTTGCCAGCGATGTGGTGCACGCGGTCCACCTGGCAGCAAGGGACAATGGGCACGCATAAGGCCAAGGGCCCAAGCTTTTGTCGTCGTCGTCGTGCAAACGGTGCAGGAGGCTGCAAGCAAAAAGGCCAGCGTGTCAGGACACACCGCAAGCACCGCAAGGATGTCGTTTGCCCCCCAAAAATTCGTGGACGCCAGGACACCCCGCGATCACCGAGAGGGTCGTCGTTTGTGATCAGAATTTCGAGGATGTCCCACGCGCCGGCGTCAGGACACGCCAGAAGCACCTAGAGGATCAAGGACGCCCCATTTGCCAGCGTCAGGACACGCCGGGAGAACCAAGAGAGGACGCCCCACGCGCCAGCGCGATTGTCCGGAGGTGCGGTGGGTCCCGCCAACCGTACCCCGCGGATGAAGATGACTCAATGTTCAAATCGCTCCTTAATACCCTGATGTCATACCATCACGACAACTTCACGAAGACCACCTCTGCTGAAAAACCCTTCACCACGCTTTCTGGAAAGGCGGGGGGGCTCGGGGGCCGAGCAGCTCCCCCCCCCTCCCCCCCCATCACTAACACAATCCTCGCATCATGATGTATGGTCCCATCCCGAGTGCCGGCCGGCTCTGGGCTCAAATTCGTTGCTGTCCCAAGAAGTGGCTGGGGTCCGCGAAATGTATACGTTTGCCACGGCTACTCACTGAAAGGAACAAAGCGTTCTTGAAGTCGGCTTCAGAAGCCTGTTTGTACGTCGTTTCGCCATATTGTCCCTCTTTCAACCCTTGCTTCCCCAACAGAAAAGACTCCTCGAAGACGAGGAATCTGATACTGTCTCTCTCTCGCTCGTTCTTTCTTTTGTTCATGTTCTCCTTCTTTTTCTTCCTTTCTTTATTTCTGTGTGAAAATATCGGCATTTCCTTCTTCCTGCTGTCTCTCTTTACTTCTTTATGTCCCTCTCTTTCCTTCCTGTCTTCGACTCCCGGCCTGTGCTTACCCTCCCTCGCCTCCTGTCTCTTATGTCAGCGCCTGAATTTGTGTTTGATCCTTTCTACTTCGTTGATCCTGACTGAACTGATGAAGAAACTTCAGAATGATGTTTATCCTTTCCACACCAGCAACCCACACGTTCAGGACAACAGAACACATGCCAGCACTCAGCAAGTAGGGGGGCTTTTGATGAAGGCGCCAACCTTTGTCTTAGGCTTTTTTACAGGACCTGGTGTTGGCTTCTCTGCCTCGTCGAACAGGCCTGGATACCCAGCTTCGAATGGTTCCAACCATTCTAACCACACTGATTCCTCTGACCCAGGAGCTGTCCTAGATCCTGGCCATGCAATCCTTCGGTGTAGACCCATCCTTCTTCCTAGCGGGGCACGTGCCTGTGCTCAAGGTTCTGTTCATAACACTTTCGCCGAGGCCTCGCTGCCAAGCCAATACCACACCTCACGTCAAGCAGAGGCAGCTACACCGGAGCGCCGAAACTTAACACGACTGATGCTTCAATCCCTTGATGCTGAGACTTGTGTGCAAAGGACTGACAGTTCTTCTATTCAACATCACAAACATCAGGTGCTGCTGCGGCACACATGCCAGGACATGGGTCAGCAGCATAGTCGACATGAAGAGCTGGGTGACATTCACCAGAAAAACGGCCTCGTGTGTGTTGTCAGGACTGTTTCATTGGACCATGTTACAATGTTCACACCATAGTTTGCAAAGGTTCACGATGAGCATTTCATCATCCGCCGAGCATCGATTTCGCCTGCCAAGCGCCGCTTAAAGTCTTCGGAGAGGCGCTTCCTGAAGGAACTGCGGCAGACCAAGCATAGCAGGAGCATAGCCCGAGCAAAGCTAGGCGCTTGCCCAAATAAAATGAGAGCCCCTGGCACCCCTTGCATCCAGGCCCTAAAATTCTGCTTGACTTTTGCTCAGGTGCAGCTTCACAACACGCAGCAACCGTGCCAGCCGCAACATTCGGAGGATTCGCCCAGTCCTGCATGAAAGAAGTGCGTCGTTGTGGTTTGCAGGCAGTGTTGCAGGCAGTGTTGCAGGCAGTGTTGCAGGCAGTGTTGCAGCATTGGCCGTGAGATCGTGCTCTGCTTTCGGCTTGCCACTGTTACAAGGTACCTGTATCAGCCTGCAGTAATTGCCTGCTACTCATATGACTTGCACTTGCACGGACACAGCATCAGTGGGTGTGCAACGATGGTCCAAGCGCAGCCAGTTAACAGCCACAACAAAGAGTTTCCTGCTTCATGAATGGGGTCTGTTCGATGCAACCCTGCCTGACCGCTCTTGCCAATGTGAGCGTATCGGCAGTGCTTACATCTGCAACGGTCGCAACCAAATCCACACACGCCTCAACATTGCACTCATTGCATGATGCAACGGTGACACAGGAGATAATGACCAGCTTCACTAAGCCCGCCACAAGGAGTACATCGATTGGCATCCATGTTCGTGAGTACCTTTCTTTTTGAGGCGCCGCTCTCGACATGGTACAAGGTCTTGGTATGGTCTTCTTTGTGACGTGATCTTTGGGGCCTAAGAGGGCCTAGGAATGCTTTGGGTGCGGCTGAGAGATCCCTGCCGACGAGAAGCATATGAAAGATAACCCAGTAGCTGGTCACCAGGTTCCCATTCCGGTATGTGGCAGTCAGCATAGACATTGGGATGTCAAGCATCCAATAGAGAGTGCAAGCGACCTAAGTCGGCGCCATGTGTCCAGAGCAACTCCAAGTCCGAAGCAACTTGACATGTGGAATCTTCTGAGGAGAGACTCAAAGACTCAGAAAGTCTTTGACATTGGAGTCGGCTAAGGCAGGAACGCTCATCACACGCAGAAAAGCTACGTCTGGCAAATCAAAGACCTGCAAGACGGCCACGATAAGCCAAACTTGGCACAGCTGGCTAGCATGCATGCACGACATATAACTTGTGATCTTTTTGAAAACGGAGACGAGCCGGCAGACATGACAACAACATACCGCAACGGCACTCTGAAGAGTTGTTCCACAGTTCCATGTTGAGCTGGCTGAGGCAACTGCCATCATCGGAGTAGCAACCTGAACATTACAGTGTGCTGCAGCTCTTAAACTTCCCTGAAAGTCCGACGACGGTTGGTTGTTAGCTTTGGCTCCTAACCTCCAAGACCCGTCCGCGCAAACTGAAAGGGCCCGGGTTTATCAGCCCATTTGCAAGCTTGTGTCGTACCACGAGTGTAGACAACACAGGGCCCTGGCCAGCATACAGAGCAAGAACTCACGAACACGAGCCAAGCAGCCATGTCGAAGAAAAGCAAGGCCATTGCCAGTAGTTCCTTGGGCTTGTGGTGCTTGAGTGTTGTTGAACAGGTAACGCGTGTGCAAGGACATTTAGCTACTACTGACTCACTGCACTGAACCAACGTCAGCTACACTGCGCAGCAGGTTTGCGATTTGGGGCTCAGGGTTCGGATGGATCGGCGCAGTCGCATGCAGATTTTTCCGCGCCCGACCGCCTGGCCGGCAGGAACAGACGTGAAAGGTCCTTGGTCCTTTCCACACGGTGGAAGGGGCGGAAGCAAGACGGAGCAAGAATGGTTATGTCTACGCCCAAACCACTTCCAGGCGTCGCGCCCAAATCTTGAATCGCACCCGTGCGGAAACAACGTGTCTCACCTCATCCTCCTCCCGGGACCGCTACAAGGGCGCGGAGGTCAATCGGCGTGTTGGTAGGGGATTGAGAGCCAACATGGGGTTAGTGAGAGCTGTAAGGAACAAAGGGGCTTGAAAGGAATCTGCCAAGCCATGCCGCACCACTCAAGTGGCTGGACCCAAGGTCAGTGCCGCACTGTCAAAAGACAAACCTTGATGTCCCTGAGTTCTCGTACACCATTCTATGCGGAATCTGCCTCTCAGCCCACTTGAAAGGGCAGTCCCAGAACGTTTGCCTGGTATCAATTCGGAATCGAAGACTAAGGTTGGGGTCCCAACTAGAATAAACACAACAAACAGGCCTAAAGCTCTGGCCTCGCTCAGGAAAGGAAAGTCAGTTTCGGCCTTCTACTGAATCTACACCACCGAACTGGCTGAAACAGAGTGCTGATAAGCCCCCAATCGTTGGCTCCAAGCATCCCACGCAATACGTCTCCTCGAAGACCTCAATGCATTTTTGCCCCATTTGCACAGTAAGCACAGAACCCCGAGACGAACCCCAAGAATTACCTGGAACCTGGACACACCCGAAGCATGGCCGGCTTGACATGCAGCCCAATGAAGATCCCACATATGCGGGCTTGTCTAGATGCATGTCCTTGCTCTAGCCCACTGACGATCCCTTCCGAGCAGTCGGCGGGTGGATGGGGAACAGCTTCGACCAGGAATTCAACATGCGATCTTCCTGCACCTGAGACCGATGGCGATTGCACCCCGCATCCAAGCGCGCGCAAAGTTCCCAAAAACACACCACTCGGTGCTTGTGTCCTGCCTCCGTGGGTGTTGGTCCTCCTGGATCCGAGTCCGAAGA